TGAAACAATTGTTGGTGAAGTGATTGTTGACAAAATGAATCAAACCCATATTTATTTCTACGTTATCAAATTCGCGAATTTAATTGGTCAATCAACAATTGCATGGGTTAAAATTTTGTATTCCCTCCTGTTAATTTTTGTGTTCCCAGTACATTCTCTCCTGTTGCTGGTAATATAGAAAAAAGTAAAAATACTCTTGATTTAGTCAACATCACAGAAAGTAGGAAGCTGTAAACACACACAGTCAGATCACTTGTCTATTTCTTTCATGTCTTGTTTAATTCTCGTAGTGTGTTTCCCGCTTTGACTTCCAGCCACTGGTGCAGAAAGTTTGTTCTGATAGTAAGACTCTAAGCTGGTCCATATTCTACCATCATCTAATTAATAAAATAAAATTTTTTTTTCTTATTTATTACTTTTGAAGACAATAATAAATTATATGTTTTTAATAAATAAATACAACCATTACATGGAAAATGTAAAAAATTTTTATATGAAAACTCTTAAAATCTACAGGTGCTAAAGAGTAAACTTTTTTTTTTACTTAAGTAAAGACAAAAAAAAATTGATAATATGTTCTTTGAGATTTGTTTTGTTTGTGGATGTAAAAAAAAATTATGTGGTGGAACAAAAGCATAGTACCACTTTTCATGCAAAGGTACTCGATTAGTTGTTTTTGTGTCAAATTTCCCTCAATTTTTACTATGTATGACACACTCATTTATTCACAGATCATCAATTAACTGTTCTCAATTTGGTACAAACATGTAATGAAGTGAAAAATAGCCATCTTTTAGCAGAAGGGATGATATGTGGTTTAAGCTTATTAGAAGAAAATCCAGAACTTTATAAGAATATTGCAAAGAAAACATTAATTTTTATACCTTTGATGATACTGAATATCAAGTTGAGCTTACATTGGATCAGAAAAACCTCATAAAAGAAATTGTTTTAAATGGCAATTTTAATATCAAATTAAATGATCAAAATCACTTGTTACATTTAGCAATGATCAATTTAGCTAAAGATTTTAAAGAGATTTGGGAAATAAAATCATATGACCTACTGTAAATGAAAATAGCTATGCCCATCAAGTAATCAATAAGATTACGAGTTTCCTTTTTTCTGACATCAATAATGTTGAATCAAGATGGTAATTACTACTTGCAATATTTAATGTAAATATTGAGAATAATATATATTGTAAGATAGTAAAAGAGGGACTGACCTAGAGTCCAAGCTGAATGCAATTAATTAAATTTACTGTGTTGGTCACGTGATTTGGAAGATAAACCAAATATTTAGACTGCGCAAAGCATTGTAATTGGAGGGAAGTTCCTTGTAGACAAAAGGGCATCACAATAGAATTCTTAGAACACTTATCTTATCTATAATATTAGCCATATTACTTATTTTATAATCTTATTTATATTTTATCATTCAGATGATGTAAATATTTGTATGAATTAATAATTCAACTTTAGTATATTTTATTGAATGGAATCATGTAAAGGTCATGTTATTTGTATAACTTCAATAGTTATAAATAAGCTTGAAATTGTCCAGCTTGGAATAATTATGTATATATAATCATGTCCATAATAATAATAATTCACTTCATAATTTATTAAATAAACTTTCTTTGTGAATACCTTTTAATATTACATTATTGAATAATGTATCCAAGAGGACACCCTTAGGACTTATAGATGTATATATATAGAATGTCGTGTGCAGCTGGAGGATAAAACAGAGGAGACCTACCAGAATTCTTCTGCAATAATAAGGGCAGTTAGTGGCCAACACTAATATTATAAAAGGAAAACTAGCTAGTAAAGTAA